AAGACCGCACGAAGGACCTCCGAAAAGCCTCCTGGAGGAGAAGGCGTGCGGTGCCTCCTCCTCCTCCTCCTCGCCCCACTGGACCAAGGCTCGGCACTGGCACTCGCACCTTTCAGCCAGCTCGCTCTCGCCGTCAGACGACTGCGCGCCCTCAAGCTGTCCGCGCCTCCTCCTCCTCCTCCGCCTCCGTGCCCGCTCGAGGATGGCGCGTCCTGCGCGCAGAGGTTATGGGGAAGTCTCGGGCGAGACGCTCGTTTTGCAAAATTTGACGGGCGTGGGCGCTCCAGGATGCCCAGAGGGTTTTGGGAATGCAGACCCAACGTAATCTACGAGGGATCGCGGCTTTGGGAGCGCCGACGCCGCGTAATTTACAAGGGATACTGGCCCTGGGAGCGCGGACGCCGTGTACTCTACGAGGGATCGTGACCTTGGGAGCGCAACTCCAGTGTAATTTAGGAGGGATCGCGGCCTTGGGACCGCAAGTCCAGCGTAATTTTCTTGGGATCCTGGCCCTAGAACTGTGGACGCCGTATAATTTATAAGGGATCGTGGCACTGGGAGTGCGGGTGCCGTGTAATTTACAAGGGATCGTGGCCTGTGGAGCGCGGGCGCCGCGTAATTTACAGGGGGTCGTGGCCCTGGGAGCGCGGGCGCCGTTCACTGGGGAACATGGCCCTCGGAGTGCGAACGCCACGTAATTTACTATGGAGCGCGGCCTTGGGAGCGCGGACGCAGCCTAATTGCCTAATTTACGAAGGATCGTGGCCCTGGGAGCGCGGACGCAGCGCAGTTTACGGGGGATCGTGGCCTGGAAAGAGCGGGCGCAGCGTACTTTACGAGGGATCGTGGTCCTGGGATCGCGGACGCAGAGCAATTTACGACGGGTCGTGGCCCAGGGAGAGCGGACGCAGCGCACTTGGGAGCGCGGATCCAACTAATTTACTAAGGATTCTGGCCCTGGGAGTGCAGGGGCTGCGTAATTGTCCCAGAAAAGGCGTCGGCCCAGGGTTCTCTTTTAATTGTGCTTTCCCCCGGTGCCCTGCTTGAAATAGGCGGGCGAAACTATTTGCGATAAATAACGGGGTAAAGTCCCAGTTGGCGTGGAACAAATGCGTTTCGCGCGTGCCCGCTCGAGGAGAATGCGCCCCCCATGTCGGATCCTCGTTGCCTAATGGGGTCCGCAGACCCCCGCTTTCCCTCGTGAAAGCATAGCGTAGCATAGCATGTACGAAATCTTCTGGGTTCGGGCGGGGGATTCCACTGAAAAACATTCGGACTCTCTCACAAGGGAAACATTGATATGATCCCACCAGAAAGTACAACACGAAATCGTGTGACGTATGCGAACGACAAGCACGTTACCACACATTACGAGACGTGTTCAGAAAGCCATGAAACGGTTTGAGCAAGCCTTGTCGCCCAAAAAGTGATTGTCATCGCACACCAGAGTTTTGCGCACTCGCACCAGTCGCGTGACAGTTCGCCTCTCACACAAGATGCCGCCTAAGCGCAATGCAGGCGGCGTGCCAGTTGTGAAATACCCCCAGTACATCAGGACCTGTCAGGACCCAGTGCTGAAGATTCTCTACAGATCCTTTGGCTGCTCGGATGTGCGTGCGTATTCTCCTCATCTGCCGTGGACACGTTTTCACGGCTTGCGCAAAGCCTCTCAGCATCAAAACAATCAGGGCACCCTGCCGACTGCGGTGTCTCCGCGACCGCTGCTAGCCTTCCGTGCGCACACACACCCAAGAGGCCCAGGGCACATTGGACCAGCAGCACGAGGGCGGCTTCTTGGCATGGGTCCCCACTGCAATGAGGGGGCGCCTCCAGAGGCCTCCCACATGGGGTCGGAGCAAACGGGGTCGGAGGATCGCGCCGCATCGCCGCCACATCGGCGAAGCATCGGCGATGCATCGGCGATGCATCGGTGATGCATCGGTGATGCATCGGTGATGCGGCGGCGATGCATCGTCGGCGTCGGCGATGCATCGGCGACATCGGCGTGGAGAAAATCGGGCTCCGCATCGAGCCGCAGCAACGACGCATCGGCGATTGCGCCGCGATCCTCCTGTTCTATGTAATTATACTCCGACCCCAGCAAGGAGGCCTATAGAGCCCTGTCCTGAACCCGTCCGGTGGGTTCCCCCAGGATCCTCGCCCCGGCGGGCGGAGGAGGAGGAGGAGGAGGAGGAGGAGGAGGAGGAGGAGGAGGAGGAGGAGGAGGAGGAGGGGGAGGAGGAGGCGGAGGCGGAGAAGGCGGAGGCGAAGGCAGAGGCGGAAAAGAAGGAGGAGGAGGAGGAGGAGGAGGAGGAGGAGGAGGAGGAGCGTGCCCGTGGTGGGCGTCACATGGGCTGGCCGGGTCTTCGCCCAGAGGGCGCGCAGGGGCCGTCCCGCGGGCGCCCCGTGCGGCGGCGGGTCTCTCGGGGTGTTCCCCTGCTGGGCGCCTCGTTTTTTATGTCCTTCTCCACCCACGAGTGCGACCGTCCCGTGCACTGAAGAGGGCCCGCCTGACCATCAAACTGAGGAGCCCGAAGAGCGTGGGAACGAACCATTCACCATCAAACTCTCCGTCATCAGCTGTACAGCGATGGCGGCAGAAAAGGGGCCCTGCAGTGCTCCTACACCGTACAGGCCTGAAGAGCTGAGCCTGAAGAGCGTGGGAACGAACCATTCACCATCAAACTCTTCGTCATCAGCTGTACAGCGATGGCGGCAGAAAAGGGGCCCTGCAGTGCTCCTACCCCGTACAGGCCATTCAACAAGCGCAGGGGGTTCGTGCCATCACCAGGACCGGAGCCTCTCGCGACTGCTGCACCTTGCAAAATTCGCCACGCATGCGAGGTTGAGGCAGGGAGCGCTGACGAACGCCATCGCTGCGCAAGAAACATTCTCCCTAGCGCTGTGCCCCAGGTATAGCAGGGGATATGTCGACCCCTATCCCAGGTTTTGGGGGGGGGTCTTCGAATGAACCAGGAATTTGGGGCCCAACCCTGGGATATACCAAGGGGGGGAGGTCATCCTCGATGGGGGTGCGTCCGATGGGGGTGCGTCCGAATAGCCCCCTTGGGGTGTATCCCAGAATCTCCCCCTGTTTCTTTGACAGGCCGAACTTTCAAGCGGAACTCGGGGATTGGGGGAGAGAAATCGACTGCGAAGGCACAGGGTTCTCGCCTGGGAGGTTGCAGACCTCGGCCAAGCTTGCACACGGAGAGGCAAGTCGCCTCTTCGTTTTCGCGCAAGTGCCGCGCGGGCGCCACCTGCTCGTGGCGCGCACCAAGGTCGGAGATTGGAGGGTGAGATCGCAATGGAACGAAGAGCCCCCCAACGGGAAATCGGTAACGATTTCGTGTTCGTATCGCTATATAGATATAGAATCTATCGATGTGGGCGCGCGACAGGAACGACCCCACCGTCGCTGGGGCGACTCGGATGCGGCGGGCCGCGCCTTCCCCCCCAAATGTTCTACGAGCAGTGGCCCCGGGGGGTCCCGCCGTTGCGTCCCTGCGGTGTCCCGCTGCTGTCCTGGTGGTGTCCCGTTGGTGTCCCGGTGCGCATCCATAGGATTCCTTCGGGAATCTAGAAGAATCAATCGGAAACCCATAGGATTCCCAAGAAGATCCATAAGATTCCTGAGGAAATCTATCGCAATTCTTAGTAATCCTTGCTACTCAAAATTAGAATAGATCAACTTCGATTCGCAATTTTCCCCCCGCGATAAAAACAAGTTCGGCCTTGCCGCCTCTCTTCCCTGACCAAAAACTGCATTAGCTCGGGATCATCAACATTCAGTACTAAAGCGGGGGGGGTATGATGATTATCCAGAGGTGGGGGTTAAAGGGGTGCAGTGTCGACGCTGGAAATGGCGATACCATCAAAGCTAACTGCAAATGCCTTGCATGCGGATATAGCAGCCACGTCGACCTGGCGACGACCGCGTCAGAAAGCGCGGGACCTGATGCCACATCTCCCCGACGGCCACAATCAAATTTGAACAAAGACGCAAATGCCCCCGAAATATCGAATCGCAAACACAATGATTCCAAAAATTCCGAATTGCGAACGAAATGATTCCAAAAAATCCGAATCACCGAGAATAATTATTCCAAACAATCCGAAATACTTAATCTCGTTCCGCGTACAAACCAAGATTCCGGAAATTTCGAAACGACGTTCCGGAAATTCCGAAATGGCACAAAAAGATCCAAAAAATTCCGAAAGCACGGACAGAAGTCCTGGAAATTCCGACATTTTCAGGATCGCGCGCCTTGCCATCGGACTTCCTGGAATTGGCATTGCGCAGCCATTCCGATCGGACGGGCCTCGCTTGGGAGAGCTCGCACCTGAAAACCCTGCATCGGTTGATACGGTCGTCGCGAAGCCAACGTGGTTGGCATCCGCATACAAGATACTTGTAGACATCAGCGATGATAACATCGCCAGCTCCAGCGCTGGCACCGCACCCCTTTACACCACCCCCAGCCACCGCACGCCCGCCGCCGACGGAAAACCCGGTGCTCCGTCGGCGGTGGGCGGGCCGTGGCTGGGGGTGTCCCACCTTGGAACTGATAGTGAAGTAGATAGTGAGATCGATAATGAAATCGCTCGAATGGGATGGATAGCGAGATCAAACTTGAGATCGACAGTGAGGTTGATTGTGACATTGGTTGTGAGAGGGAAAGCGGGGACGATAGCGACATTACATCACAGCGCAATCTCGTCATCACGCGTCGTCGCTAACTCGAGGACGCGTCACCAGCATCGTCATCATCACATCCATCGTATTTGCCAGCAGTTGGTATTTGGGCCCCCACCCACCAACTTCCAGATCACCCGAAGTGTGGTCGTGTAGGTATGATTGGTGTACGTATGGGTGAGGTCTGGGTGCGAGTGAGTCTGAATGACATTGACTATGTGCTGCGTCGTATGATCCCGGGTCAGATGGAACAGGAGGGATGAGGCGGGAATCAGACGGCGGAAACGATACGAATAACAACAATGCGCGACGTAACACATGGGGAAATAATACCCGCAAGCGCAACTAAAGCAAAGGCATGGTCATTGGACCCTTGCTCCGCGCGTTCGACGGAAGCTCGCGGCAATCAAACTGGCTCAATATGCTGGGACAGCGTTGCGAATGTGCCTTTCGACAAACTTGCGTTTGGTTCGTCAATGTCGTCGTCGGGATGCCTTGGAACCCTTCATCTTGGGCCCGTCTTTGCTTTTTGGCCGCCACACTCCCCCAGCAAGAAGCGGCTTGACTACCGAAAAATCGGCCAACCACTTGACAGGGAACTGCGCACTCATGTCGGCGTTACAAAGATTGGTCATTGAATTATGGATGCCTCCCCCATACGGCTACTGCATAGGGCTCGGCCGTGACTCGCTGACAATCGCCTTCTCCGCTAGTTTCCGTAGCGGCGTCCGCGGAATCGCAATGAAACGGGGGACACCGACCGGGAATTCGAATGGTCCATTATAGATTCAACGCATCCAATGGACGGGCCGAGGCGATGGGTGCATGTGTCAATAAAAAACAAACTAGAAAGTACAAAAGTAAACTAGAGTGCAGAAACACCACCCGTATGTACAACTGTCCCAGGCAGAGTAAGTGTCAAAGGATTGGACCGGGTACCGCAGTCTCACCCCACCCAAACACACTGTGAGAGGAAAGAGACGCAAGATGATGTCGCAGCCAATGGCTGTGGTCCCATCCAACCAAAATCAACTGAAAGAGAAGAGAACGTCTTGAACGTCGGGGAGAGTCTTGGTAGAATGAAGGAGACCCCAATGGAACTGCCTTGAAGGCCTCTGGAGGCGTATTGAAAGCGTGAAGAACCAGCTTGGAGCCTTCTGGCGCCGTCTCTGGACTTTTTCGCACAAGAAAAACACATCGGGGGCTGATGTACTGTCATATGTAGGCAGTCTGGATAAGTCTAATGGAGTGTCCTAGAGCGTTTTGAAATCATTTTAAGACGTTGTGATGCGTCCTGGGCGTTCTGGGGATGGGCTGGGCGAACTCTTTGGGCCCCGAACGCCTGTAGTCTAAAGGCCTATATGCAGAGTCGCCTTCTCATCCTCAACTAGAACCACGCGCGCTTCGCGCGCGCTTAGGTTCTAGTCGCGCTCGAGGATCTATCATCGCAAATTGCCGCTGGGTATTGCCACGTTGACTCGGGAGTTCCATTAAGGTTGGTCGTGGGACCTGCCGCCATTCGATGTGGTAGCCCATAAGTCGTTCAGGGGGGTCTTTGGGGGCCTCTACGAAGCGCCGTCTGGGGCTGGAAGAGATCAAAGGAGAACTGGGGTGCCCGAATCTGGCTCCGCATGGCCCAGTGCCCTGGGGCCGGGACCTTCTTTGTATGTAGATATGTACATATGTGTTTGCGTACATACTGAGTACGTATGTATGGTGATCTAGGTCTGTATCTTTGTATGCATGTATATTTATATATATATATATATATATAGCTAAATCTATCGACATACATATGTACACAAGACTGCATTGGCGCTTCGCTCCATGCACCTTGGTCATTGAGGCTTTGCATATGTCGGTCGTTCGCGCTATCCCTACGTGGCCTTGGACATTTGTCCCCTTCCCTACTGTGGTTTTCAGAAGTCTTCGAGAGTTCGTGCGGTCCCTTGGCCCTTCCCGGGACTCTGGGGGCTCCCGAAACGAGCCCGGTGGAGGGCGAAGGATAGGAGGGAGTGAATCTCGGAGAGCGAGGAAAGGAAGCGGATGTGGGGGAGGACGAGTGGTGGAGCGGAAGAAAGAGGGGGAAGGCGCCGTCGGGGGACGGCGAAGAATGTTGCAACGGGTTGCAGCGGGTCGCAACGAGGCACGCGAACGGGATTTGTGGTTGCGAGTCTGGGATTCTGGTCAGTTTGGTGGAACACGCCGTGTGGGCCTTGTTGGAGCCCTGGTGGGCCGGCCAGCTTTGGGCCGTCTCGAGGAGTCTGGGGGCCATCTTGGGCTGTGTTGGGGAGCTTGGGCCCTCTAGGGGACCTCACGGGGGCCACGCACGCCCTCCTGTTGGCCTCCCATGGTCTTTTAGGGGGCCTCCCATGGCCTTATCGGGCTTCTCTTGGGAGCCTTGTGAAGGCCTGTTGGGCCACTGTTGGGCTCATGTGGGTTTTACTTGGGCAGTCTTGGGGCCGTCCAGGTCGTCTAGAGACTCTCTTGGATGTCTCTTGGGCCGTCTTGGGGCGATGCTGGAGGCCTTCTTGGCTGTTTTAGACGCTTCTAAGACACGAGCAGCGAACGTGCTGAAAAGGTACGTTTCCCGAAGGCAATGAAGCGATGTTTGCGTTCTGGGAGTCCTGTTGAGGGCCTCTGGGCCGTCTTGGGGGCCTCTGGAGGCCCTCTGGGCCCTTCTTGGAGCGCTCTTGTGCTGTCTTGGGTCTTGCTTCGGCCTCTCTGATGACCGCTCTGATCGCTTCGGGGCCTTGTGAGAGTCTGTTGGGCCTCGTTTTGGCTCATTTGTGGATTCCTTGGGCAATCTTGGGGCCATCCAGGCCACCTAGAGGCTCTGTTGGGAGTCTCTTCGGAGTCTCTTGGACCGTCTTGGGGCGATACCGGAGGCATTCGGCTGTTATGGATGCTGCTAAGACCCGAACATCGAATGTGCTGAAAATGCAAAATGTCCTAAGGGACTGAATGGATTTCTGCATTCTGGGAACCCTGGCGAGGGCCTTCTGGGCCGTCTTGGGGGCCTCTGGAGGCCATCCCGGTCCTTCTTGGAGCGCTCTTGTGCTGTCTTGGGTCTCTCTTCGGCCTCTCTGATCACTGCTCTGATCGCTTGGGGCCTGCTGGCAGGATCCGGCTAAGCGCCCTGGGAGGTCCAGGACGAGCGGGAGGACCTTTGGCAAGGATGCCCAAGGGGCCCTGAAACCCGAGATCCTAGGGGTCCAGTTTTTTTGGGGGGGGATGAGGGGTTTGCTTCCCCCCCTCGGCTTGTAAACATATGAGAAGAGGAATATGTCTACATGTATACATACACATAAAAAATATGTATGTGTTGGCCTTCGGACTATCCCGCCACGGTGCCTTGGCTGTGTGTCAGAGGCATCTTGGGTGTTCGTTGGTACCTTGTGGGAAGCCTGTCGGGAACCTCATCGAGGGTGGCTGTGAAGCCTCTTCTGGGCCGTTTTGGGGCTTCTTGGGGCCTCTTTCGGGCCTCTTCTTGGGGGCCTCTTGGGGGGCCTTTTGGGAACCTCGAGACGCCTTGTCGGGGCTTCTTTGGGCCTCCTGAGGGCCTGTGGGACTGAAGGAATGGAATTGGGGGTTCGTGTTCCCCCTCTTAAAGGCCCTCTTGGGCAGCTCTGGGGCCCATCTTGGGCCTCTCTTGGGCCGTCCTGGGGCGCTCTCGAGTCATCCCAGGGCTCCCTGGAGGTCTCTGACGCCGTCTTGGGGCTGTCTTGGTCCCCTCTTGAGCCGTTTCGGGGCCGTCTTGGGCGCCTCTTGAGCCGTCTAGGAGCGTTGGAAGCCCGAAGCGGTAAGAACACCCAAATCCTTCAAACACCGGAGGATAATCTATAATTTTGGCATCTTGGGGCGCTCGTCGGGGTGCTCTTGGAGCCTTGTTGGGCCGTCTTGGGGGCCTCTTGGTCCGTTTGGGAAGTTTCTTGGGCCGTCTGGGACCCCTGGAGGCCGTCTTCGGGGTGGCTCGGGGCCGTCTTGGGCCGCTGGGACGCGAAGCGCCGCCCGCATCCATGGAATCGCGTCACCTGGCGAAGTGGATCCGCTGCGCCGTGGTTAGCCCCAGGAAGACCTGCTCCGCTGGCCTGCCCCCGAGCTGCTGCTGCGGCGCGATGTGGTGGGGGCCCGGGGCGCAGGTCGGCCACGCTGCGCGGCCGGCCTGCCGGCAGAGGTCGCCCAGCCAACCTGCCGACGGCCAGCCAGCAGGAGACGACTGGTGCTGGACACTGCGCTCGTCGGCGGACTCCTGGAGGCCGGCACCCACGCACACCGAGACCGTGCCCGGCGGCCTTGGCCGCGGCCCCTGCGGGACGGCTCCCTCCGCGGAGCCGCTGGAGCCGCTGCTCTGCGAAGGTGTCGCTGGGAGCTCGGACGCTGGCGAGGCAGCTGGCAGGGTCCGCTTGCTGAAGACGAGCCGGCGGTAGTTGGGACTTCGAATGCCACCGGCCTTGCTTGCCATAGTGATGTTGGCCTCGTATCCCTGGATGTGCGCGGCGGTCACCTGCAAAGCACGATTGTCGAGATGGTCTGGAAATCGCTCTGTTCCGTGCCACGTCCTCTTGAAGTAACTCGCGATGGCTGGCGACTGAAAATTTACGAACGCGTACCCCTTACTGTTGCCGGAAACGAAATCGCATGGGACGTAGCAGAAGTCGTAGGTATCCCGGACGTCTGAAATATCCAGCGCGTGAACCAGCATGTCCGTCTTGCACCTGACTGGCAGATTGCGCAGCATCACCGTGGTGATGCCACGGACGTCCTTCTCGCGCGGGACCACCTTCATCGTGCTGGCCAAGGCCGCGCGCGCTCTTCTACCACGGCACCTGCCAGCCTGCACGGCAGCTGGAGCCTGCAGCGGCTGGTCCACGCCAGCCAGGCGCTGCGGCGCAGGGGGGCCGTGGGGCGCACGAGCCACGCCACCCGCCTCGAGGAGGATGCCTGGCGGAGCCGGCTCCGGCTGCTCTCCTGTGGGGACAGCGTCTGCGGCATTGCGCCAGGTAGAGCGGACGGCGGTGTAGTCGAAGTCGCTGTCGGTGTCCGGGTACTGTGGGTCGTCAGGGCCTCCAGGAGCGCACGCCGCCGCCTGCGAGGTCGCGGGGAGATCTGGTTCGGGGTCGTCGTGCTGCTCCAGCCTGTCCCCCCTCGGGCTGATCAGAGCCTCCGAGGTGCTGCTTTCGGGCGCGGCGGTCGAGTCGTGCGAGCCTGTGGAGTCGTAGTGCGAGGCGGTGGAGTCGTCCGAGCCTTTGGAACCGCAGTGCTGGAGGAGGTCGTGCGGCGTGTACCCGGGGTAGCTATGACAACGCCTGAGGCCGCGCGGCACGTCGCCCCAGAAGTGGCAGTCGTTGAGGAGGGGGGGCAGGCGGGACTCGGCATGGCGGAGCGCCATCAGTCCGCGCCCGATCAGTGGGGTGGCGACGGTCCTGCAAAGATAGCCACGGAGCGGCTAACAAATGATTGATCCTGACGGGGCTTGAGTCAGAGTGGCTGCGGATCTCCCTGGTGTGCGCTGGCCGGCTCCTCCTGATGTTCGCCTCCTCGGTGCCCGTAAGCGCATCATGGCCGCCTCGTGTGCGGGCTGGGTTGTCCGGGAGTTCGCCAGGTTGGGCGCCCGTGGCCGCATCGCTCGCTGGATCTTGCTTCAGGGCTCACCAATAGACTGAGCCACATTGATTGCACCGCCGCTTTGCGTCCAACACGACGTATCTTGCACCACATAGCTTGCACAGCGTAGCTTGCACTACATAGTTTGCAGCACGCTGTGTTTCTCCTATCGTGTCCCCCACGCACACACACAAAGACGCACGCACGCACGCTCATGTACACGCACACGCACAAACACACGCACACGCACACGCACATGCACTTGGCACACGCACACGCACACGCACACGCACGCCCGCTCGGCCGCGCGCGCACGCACGCACGCACGCACGCATGCACCCACCCACCCCCCGAAACAAACACACGCACACGCACACACACACACACTCACACACACACACACTCACACACACACCACACACCACACACGCAAACGCACACGCACACACACACACACACACACACACACACACGCACACGCACACGCACACGCACACGCACACGCAAGCGCACACGCAAGCGCACACGCACACGCACCCGCACCCGCACACGCACACGCACACGCACACGCACACACACACACACACACACACACACACACACACACACACACACACACACACACACACACACACACACACACACACACACACACACACACACACACACACACACACACACACACACGCACACGCACACGCACACGCACACGCACACGCACACGCACACGCACACGCACACGCACACGCACACGCACACGCACACGCACACGCACGCACCACGCACACACGCACCCGCACCCGCACCCGCACCCGCCCCGCCCACGCACCCGCGCCCGCACACACACACACATACACATACACATACACATACACATACACATACACATACACATACACACACCACACACACACACCACACACACACACACCACACTCACACACACACACACACACACACACACACACGCGCGCACGCGTACGCGTACGCGTACGCGCACGCGCACGCACAAGCACACGCACACGCACACGCACACGCCCACGCCCACGCGCGCCCCCACGCCCCCCACGCCCCCCACGCCCCCCACGCCCCCCACGCCCACGCCCACACCCACGCCCACGCCCACGCCCACGCCCACGCCCGCGCCCGCGCCCGCGCCCACGCACACGCACACGCAAACGCACACGCACACGCACACCAGGGTCCGACACGTGGAAACCCTCGAGTCTTTGGGTGCTTTTCTGGTGCTCGAGATTCTTCCTGGTGGTCCAGGCGAAAGTGGGTGGGAGCATGATAATCTCAGGGCATGGCGTGGTGGTCGTGGCCTCGACCGTGTGGGCGTTCCACGTGCCCGTCGCTTCGCGCGCCCCCCCGAGGCGGGCGGAAGCGGCGGGGCGCGCGGAGCGCGCCAGGGGCGGCGCCGGGGGCGCCGCCAGAGGGGCCCCATCGCCGAGCCATGGAATCCGCGCGAAGCGCCAGCAGCTTACAGTCAACCCCTGTAGCGAGAATGCGCGATGAGGATGGCAAGGGCCTTGAAGAAACACATTTCGAAGCGTTTCGGGCGGGGCGCGGCCGACGAAGGTGGCGAAGGATGGACCGAGGAGGCAAGAATGCAAAGGTACCCTTGGGAAAATCGCCCATCCTTACTATACGGGTTGACTGTATGTTCATGGCGTTGTTTCTTCTTCGAACTCTCCACCCTTGCTTCGGCGGTGGACAAGCTTCCCTTTCGTAAACCTCCCTTCCGTGAAAACGGCCTGGGACCGAAACCGACGGAGCTGGACCCGCAGAAACGACGGCCGCGACGTCCTCTCGCGAACCGAAAACGACCAATGCGCTAATCGACGTGTCAGGGTAGGAGGTCTATCAACCTCCGATTGCTCGCCGCCGACCTTCCAAAGGCGGATCTCCAACCTCGGCGACGAGAAGCCTCCAGGAGGCCCCCCCGCAAAGGGAGGCGAGAGGCACCGCTAGGGAGGGCCCGTCGCTGCCTCTCGCTCGTGCCGCCCTCCTGCTTTTGCCCTCGCTGCGGGGGGACCCAGGGGACAAACACAAAGAAGTAGGCACAAGTGCGAGGATCCCCTACACGTTCAAATAGTTTCTGGGTTTTCGTCGTCCCCACCTCTTCCGATAGTTTCCCAAACAATTTCCTTGGGATCGACGATACTTCGTGTCTGTGTGATTTTTCCCCCCTTCGGACTCGCGCGCCCACTACCTGCCAGGAGCAAGCGGAAACGACACCACCACCACCAGCACGGATGCATGCGCAAAGCACCACCGTCACCAGCACGGCAGGGGAATCATCCTGATGAAATGCGCACGGATCGACCCAAACAATGCATTTCGTCTTCGTTTTGCCTCCGATTTTCCTCGCTCTGCCTTCGCTCCGCCTGTGCTGCAACACGACGCCGAAACAGAAGCGGCCCACGACGTCGCCGAAACACCGTTTGGGTCTACCCCCGGTGGAGCGGTCACCCATCCGGCTCGAGACACTCCCTGTCCCCAGCGCGGGGAGGCATCGTCGACCCCCTCGATGGAGGTGGCACCCCTGGTGGTGGTGGCGTCGCTCCTCGTTCTTCCGATGCTGCTTGCCGCGTCCGCGGGGCGGGGCTTGCCCGTGCCGTGGGCGAGCAGCAGGTCGATGCACAACAGGTACCTGCGCACGGGGGGCTCACGTCGCCACGGCGTCGGCGTCGGCTGCTGACTACAGGGAAGCAAGCGCGCCCAGCCACGTGCATGAACACGACAGGCCGGAGGGCGTCCAAAAGGAGGTTCGCGAATCATGGCACGAGGCATGTAAGCGGACGAGGGGGGGAATAAGGTGACGTATTGAAACAAGAAAAGGGGGACATGAAATCTGGGAGGCATCATGGTCATTGACATATCAAACTCCCCCGAATCATCACCCGCAAGACGAAGCCAACTCAAAGATGAAACCGGGTGAAGATACATCGAGAATGTTTGATATCCGGCGATTATGGAGGATGTCTCGGGCGCCGCGACCTTCTCAGAGCGTGACCATTTTGGAACGATTTAAAAGCGTCACGGAACGCTTTGGAACGGATTCATCCTCGTCGTAGCCATGTCCGAACCCCATCCCTTGTCATCACTCCCCGTTGTGGCCAGCCCCCATCAAGACGAAACCAAGGCCAGGACATGTCGGACTGGGGCACCTCGGGGGACCTCGGAGGTCTGGCGGCTCGAAAAGTGGTGTGGGAAAACGGGCGGCGCGGCCGCTGCAGGGCGCTGCAGAACGCTCCGAAAGCGTTCCAGAACGATTTACCATCAAAAAACCTGCAGTACCCTTCCGTCGGGCGGAACTGGTATTTCTGCGCGGGCTGGTGGACGGATTGGGGCCCAAACAATTCAGGAAACGCCAAGTCCACCCCCGGGGCGGCCACCGGTGATGATCGTGGGGGAAATAAAACACCCCCGATGATGATGGTGCGGAAAATATGGGGGAGGAGGACGAGGAGGAGGATGAGGAGGAGGAGGAGGAGGAGGAGGAGGAGGAGGAGGGGGATGATGATGATGATGATGATGATGATGATGATGATGATGCTGATGATGGCGCTGATGACGATCATGATGGCGATGGGGGTTACTCCTTGAGGATCATAAGATAATTTGATGATATCATGAGATCAAAAGGTTAGAAGTGAAAACCATCGCAGAGAGGATGTCTTTCACCCAACCCCGCACGGAGGCGACGCTCGCTGGGCGATGCACAGGGACGAGCATGCCAGAGAACGATGGGATTATGCATGCAGAAAACCTGCCGTTTTCTCATCTGCGGCGCAACAGGCCTCGTCAAAGCCGCGATGCTCAAGAGAGAGAGGCGCTGGGGCAGGCGGAGCGCGGGGCGCAAGCCTCCGTGCTGCACGCGCTGGAAAAAGAAGATCAGGACGAATCTCTGGGCGGCCTCTGGATCGGAGTCGATCCTGGGAGCACCTCGCCACGCGCGGAAGTTGTAGGCCGCCGCCCAGGGTCTCCAGCCAGTAGCTTGTGTCCCACCTCGTCCTCGAGTCAGCCCGCTGGGGCCACTCCTTGATGCTGGCCCACCTCGCCCTCGGACCCGATGGCCCGCGTGATCAACTTCCTGCCCTCCCACCCGGGAGCAGGAATGATGCGCTTCATCTTCCTGGTTTCAGCACATTTCTCGAGTCGTGCGAAGCTGATTCGGTCTTCAAAGCCGCCCTGGAAAATATGATAGCACATTCTCGACGGGCGGGTTGGTCTTGTGGAGGTGCCCGCCGATGTTATTCTCCAGCGCGGCCTCGACGTCGCACTTCGCGAGGCCCCGCGGGGCCGCGGGGCCCGAGCCGGGCTCCGAAGGGCCAACGCGCTTCGTCGCCTGCCTGTCCTCAGCCGAGCCGCGGCGCAGCGAGCCCGCTGTCGCCCTGTTGCCCTCCAGCGCGGCGCCCGCCGCCTCGATGGCGGAGCGGGCCTTCCCCCGCGCGCGCGCCCGTCGCGAGCGAGCTGTTGAGCCTAGCCCTGCGCGCGGTCTGCAGCGCCAACTTCAGTGTCAAAGCCGAGTGCCAGAAGGTCCCTGTCATTGATGCACCGCCGCCTCTCGGGGCGGTGCCCCGCCGCGCGCGCCGCCCACCTCGGCGCTTCCTGCGTCGAGGCTCTGCGTCTTGATCCTCGCCCTTGCCGTCGCCGCCGTCGTCGGCGGCGCCCCCCTTCGGCGGCGGCGGGGCCGCCAGCCGCGGCCTGGCCGCCGGCGGCCGCGGCCTGGCCGCTGGCGGCCGAGCGGGCCCAGGCCCCTCGCCAGGTGTCGCCGGGCCCTTCAACGGGTCCACTTGGAAGCGCCGAGGCGCTCGAGCGCCTGGGGGCGCCTTCGCGCCGCCGCCGCCGCAGGCGCCGGCTGTCTGGGGCCGATGCGGAAGAGGCGTGGATGTTGCATGCGCGGTCCTTCTCCGCTGATTGGCCTCAAGCGCCGCCGGCGCTCGAGGGGCCCGCCGGGGTCGAGGCCCGCGCAGTCGCAGGAAGTGGCCAGCCGCGGCGGTTCCTCCGCCCAGTAGCTCGTCAGAAACAAGCTCGCCTCATCAACTGGTGAGCTGCAGCGGCGTCGCGAAATGGACGCTGTCGCCCCTGGGCTGGAGGCGGCGGCGGCTCCGCGCTGCTCGAAGGCCCGAGTCGCGCCGCGACCCCGCGCCTGAACGCAGGCTTAAGCGTCGTTCCGCGTGGCGACGGACGGGATGGTGCTCGCGCGCGTTGTCATTTCTTAGAAGGATCTAAATGGCCATGGTGGCGCGCGCGGTCTAGATCGCACTCGCGCAGCGAACATGTCGCATCCGTTGGAAAAGAAACCATGCGCACGCATTATGCACCAAGTCGAGCACGCGTCGCCCAGCTCGCCACGACCGCAATAAATGCCACACAATTGGGGGGGGGGGTGATCCAGCGCGCAATGCGAATATCATCCAATTGTAACGTAGTAAATACTCAAATTCGGTCCACGCCCGTCTGCCACGCGTTTCGCTCGATGAGACGCCCGCCGTTCAAACGAAACGAATCGCTCCTGACATCCAAGAATACTGCGTCGGAGTGGTCGGTCTCTTTCGTCGTCGCTGTCCGTCTACATCGTCTCAGAAGATGGAATCGCCTCGGCAGGCCTGCCGGTCTCCGGGGGCTTCATCTCGGCACCCAAAAAGTCGCTCGGATCGCCCTCGCGCAAAAGAAGAAGCTTCGCGGACCCCCCCCCCCCCCCCCGCCCTCGCAAAGTGCCTTTGCAACCTGCGGCTGCCGCGGATCCCGACATGATTTCCCATCCGGGTGCGGCGCCAGGCGCCGTGGGTCGCAGGCTAGTTGCAGCGCCTGTGGCTGCATCGAGCTGGCGGTGGCGATCTCTCCTCCTGTCGGGGGAGTCGGGCAGGCAGGGGGGCGATTGTTCGCCGCGTGCATCTTGACGCGGCGCCGCCCAAGATGGCGTGGATGTGGCGCTGGTTGTTGCTATCAGGGAACGCTTCGCCGTCAAGTCAGCCCGCGCACGAACAACTCAGACGCTGTCGGGGCAATCTGCCATTCTCGAAAGGCGTGCGAAGTAGCGAGGGAACGATGTGCATCGCTCGCGTCGATGCGGCGCGCAGCCCACTTCATCGCGGCCCCTGCGTGCAAGTGAACTATCTAGACGGCGCGCGCCCCGCGGGCGCAATGCGAAACCTTTGACGCCTGACCGCGCGCGGCCCGCGACGCTCGAGATGAATCATAAACGATTGCTTTTCTAAGGGCCCCCGAGAAACAGTGGTCCCCGAGACGAGATCGACCAAGACTTGCCAGTTGGATGCGTTCGCGCTCCCGTCGGCAATTGTTAGCAGCGCGGACGCAGCCTCCCAAATGCGTCATATCCTGCATGGCCCGCCCCGAGACCCCGCGTTCAGTTTCCTTCTTCGCAACGCGAATGCCCAAGGGGGCCGGCGCGCCCTGCCCAGCTGCGATCCGGGCGACGTCGCCTGCGCCCAGGGCCCGAGACAAGGGCGCGATATCAATCGCGACGAGGAGGCGAGCCTGATGAGCCGCGCCATCAGGTACTGCAGCCCTCTTTAAACAACCACCGGTGAAAAAAGAAACCCGGGCGAACAACTTGAAATGGCGCCCCTTGAACGGCGGCCATCTCGGCTTCTCATTGCGAAACCAATGGATGATAATAGTTTAGGAACAACTATTGCTCGTTGGGGCCCCCCTGGCCCCCTTCCCGTGCCTGCCCAAAGGGCAAGGTGAGCGCCCGACGCTTGGAAATAGACGACAGCCTGCGCGCGATGTTGGGCGAGCTGCGGTTGAAATTGTTCGTCCTGGCAACGAGCAGTGCGAGCAACGATGTGCCTCTCATGGGTTCCCGCGGCGAAGGCATTGCGCATGTCTTGCGATTTGTCCAACGTCACATAGCCGAGCCATTCTCGACTTTCCTATCATTAGCATCGCCACTTCCATGAGAGCCTCGCGTCGTTGTGACTAGATGCGTCCATGCGCCCACGGCGGCGCGGCATATCATTATGCTCCATACTTGGAATCAAATTCGAAAAGATGGTCGCCAACAAATACCAAACAACTCAGCAATCGATCGCAAGTCTTTATATCATACATGGGGCATCGGGCGGGGAACATGCCTTCCTTGTCGATTGCGATGGCGTGGCTTGTAAATCCCTGTGCTGGGAGCTCTTGGGTCCGACGAACAAGAGATATGAGCTGGACAGGTTCCTACAAAACTTCACAACACTTGTGTTGGTCCAAGCGCAGGCGCCGCGGTCGGAGAGGTTTCGTTCGGGTACTCAATGTCGCCATCTCCAGATGTTCCTCATCATGGTTTCCGATTCCTGCGCGATTGTGGCCAGTCTGGGCGCGGTATGTGGGGTTGGCCAACACAATCGTGATCTCGATGGGCCTCGCCCAAGGTCGGCTGTGGCGTCGTCGCTTTTGCCCCACAATCGTTTGGGTATGTTTTGAAGTTCCACAAATGCAGCAGCCGTTTGCTCCTCCGCGGTGAAAAACGCCCATGGGTTCGCCGACGGTTTCGACGTCGTCCGTTCGAGCTGATAAATCGCTGGGTGGCAGTGGGGCCATCGATGTACATACTAGGATCTGCGACTGTGGCGCCCATCCCCCCTCGGTAGCATGTGCCTTCGATGCCTCCAGCACCTCAGTGCTGCGAGGGCGGGTGGATGGTAAAGAACAATACGATCAGATATGATAGCCGTCGTGCGCCATCGACCAACCCTTCGATATGTACGATGAGAAACACAAGCAAATTCCCTAGCCGCCCATGCGTCACGCATGTCCTGATTCAAACTGAGTTTCCACCAGTGGCCCATCTCGCGTTGGTGTGACTTCCGCTGATTTTGAAATGTTCGCGAGCTCACTGGAATCGAAACATCAGCTGCAATATCTGGAAGATGTTCCTGTCGATAAGTGCCGCGTCCGACAGCTTTGGGGGGGAGGCATCATTAAACACCTCCTGCGGTTACCCCAGAATTAGCCCCACCCCGCCCATCTGGAGAGAATCGAACTTCCATCTGGCCTCAAGCGAGGCCGCATTTGGAGAGCCCGCGCGCATGGGAATCGGGAGTTTTGCGCACCCCAGGTGTACAGTCGGGCCGCTGAAAGAAGGAACGCTAAATAAGGAACGTAGTCCCCTCTAGGCCCTGTAAGCGCCTCCGTGCCCCAGGAGGAACCGAAAGAACATCGAGCCCCTTCCGAACCCAAACTGTTCCTCATTTCAGCGTCTTGACTGTATGACTTCATTGTTGTTGAGTTGTCGTTGCTTAGCCCCGCCCGAACGCGGGTCATGTAAAGCGAAATCAAGCTTATGTTGCGAGCGGGAGCGCATCGCATATTCCCGAAACGCACGGCACATCCTGTATACAAGCGCTTTCGCGAACAATTCTTACAGATACTGCACAACCCTCACGACCGCCATCACCCGGGTCACCACTGACACTGCTGCCCGCAGTTTGCGGAAAAACTCATGCAGCCAATCAGCACTGCTGATTCTATATGTGATACACCGATTGCTGGTGCTACAGGCACACCGTGCCGTGCCACTACCAATCCATATTCATTATGGGACTACTCTGATGCTGGATCGTGCGATGACGAGTGGGGCTCAGCTGCGAACGCAGGGGCTCGGCCGGCCACGGCAAGCATCGGCCACGAATGGGCTCCTCGGCCTCGATCTAAGGAACGGCCCGACACCAAGAGCGCCTGTTGAGCCCAAAGTGGCACCTGGTTCAACTCTTGGGCTCCAGATGGCGCCACGGATGCTGCAAGTGAACATGCGAATGACATGGAACTGATGCTGGAACCACACAGCATCCTCCTGCCACGACTTGTCTCCCAAGCGTCGCCACCACGAACTACACAAAATGTCCTGCTGCCGCTGCGACTGCAACTCCCGCAGCCACTACCAGAAGTACTGCTGCCACTGGGGCTGCAACTACAGTAACTACCACCACTTCTACCACTAACTACATCAACCACCAGCACTCACCCCCTCACCAATGCAAATACCACTGTCCACACAACGACATTACATGTTTTCCCTCGCGACGCCATTACCACACACAACGCTGCTCCTAATAATGCTGCTACTGCCACCAATATAACTATTGATACTACTGACACCCAGACACCAGCCACGACTACTGTGGCATCACCCGTTGATGGCACACACGCACTTGCTGATGCTGCCGCCGATTCGCGACTCCTGCCGCCACGAGGCTGCTGATTCTGGTCCAGGATCGCGACCAACGCCGCCGATTTTCGACTCGCGGATTAGGGGCCTCAAATGTGGTCCAAGTAGATGATGTTGCAGGATCGCGCCGCATCGCAGATGCATCGCCGATGCATCGGCAAAGTCGGTGTTGAAAGAATCGGGCTCCACATTGAGCCGCATCAGCGATGCATCGGCGATGAGGCGCGATCCTCCGACCCCATGTGCTCGGACCCAATCGGGGAGTTGCAGACTGATGGTCCAAGGTGCAGCGCCACCGATTCCGTGTCGCCCCAGACATCCGGCCGCTCAAATTTTTCCGATGCGTGGGCTCTGGAGGTCTGGACCACTTCCCCAGGGCCAGTCTTTCGTCCAGAGTCGTTCTGGCAGGCGCCGATAACGGCCAAGAATCGGCCGCTCTAATGTTTTAGGAACGTCGGGTCTCCAGGGCCGATGCTGGCCCAGAACCGCGACTCCCACCACCGCCATCCTTCTGCGTCGGGTGGCGGACGACGCCCCTATCTTCTGGCAGCGACGCCCGAGAGGCCCAGGGGGCACGGAGGCTGCGCCCGGGCCGCCTCCTCCTCCTCCTCCTCCTCCTCCCTCCTCCTCCTCCTCACCCCTCCGAGAAGTCTTTTGGGCGCGAGTGGATGGGGGGGGGCGACGGCTGGGGCGGGGAGGAAGGGTGCCCTTTCGAGGCCCCGCGGGCCCCCTCCTGGGCCCTCGAGGGCACCGCCATGGGCCCTGGAGGGCACCTTTTCGGCAGCCCTCGCTGCCCCCCGATGTTTCGCCCCCCCCCCAGTCCGCGCCCTCCGAGAAGACGTGCTTCGTGTCCGTGCAGCGCGGGACGCCCGCGCGGAGCCGTGCCCCCCCACCCCCCTGGGGCAACCTCCTCCTACAGTCAAAAACCCCAATAAGGACGCGCGGTAAGGACGCAAGACCCTTGGAAGCCGAAGTTGGGATTTTCGGGGCGGCGGACGACGAAAACCTCAAGGACGCAAGAGCAAGGAAGAGCAAGGACGCAAGGCTACCCTGAGCAAAGTCGCGCGTCCTTATAGTAGGGTTTTTGAATGTACTCCTCCTGCTCCTGTTGCAGTGAGGGGCGACGGCAAGGGGGACCAACACGGCGCGGGAAACAACTAACCTGGAATGGGTGGCGAGAGGCCACCGTTGGCGAATCCGCTCCGTCCTGGGCGGGGACAGGCTATGGGGCCTTCATCGGCAACAGTGGGCGACTGGGGGTCGCCCTGGCCTGAGCCTATCCCCCCCTAACGTTGCCCCTGGCGTGGTGGAGGAGCTCCCGTTCACTCTGGACTCTCGGTGCATGAGAACTCGGCATTTGCGTACGCCTTTTTGGAGCGATGCTATCAATAAACGATTGGCTCAAGATGTGCTCCATGAATTCTGGAATATCTGGCGGCCCTCATTTCTAAAGCCCGTGCGACCAGAATCTCGGAAATCGTAGAACTCTTGGAACGTATGGCAGGTTTGAGACACCGGGTGGAAAGTTCGGCCTTGAACGATCGGCGGTTTCCCGATCGGCACACCATTCCATACTGGCAGTTTCTGGGCATCTGGCGGCGTTCAACCTTGAAAACGTGCGGCAGAGTCGCCGTTGCGTGGGCATGACACGACCCGATCGTATCGATTTAGAAGATCTAGGGCTGCACGAGCATGAACTCTCGAAAGTCCGTGCGCATTTCTTGGATCGGCGCGGACCCCGCGCCCTAGCGCGCGCCAGGGGCGGCGCCGGAGGCGCAACCGGGGGGCCCCAGCGCCGATCCAAGAAATCTCCGTGGAGCTCTGAAAGTTTATGTCCATGCAGTTCTCTCTTGAGTATCGGCACCCGTCGGTCAGCAAAGGTGGGTAGGGACATGAAGTAGGAAGGCGTTGGAAGTAGATTTGGCTTCCGCCTGCACCCTGAACAGGGGGGAAGAGGGGAAACAACTCGACTCTTGAAGCAGAAGGCGGCGTAAAAGATGAATGGGATCAGAAAACCCAAACATACCTGCTTTCAACGACCGTCGGGCACCATGGCATTTTGTTGCTCCTCCGACTTTTTTTGCGCGCCGCGACCGCGGGTTGCCGCGTGAGTGCCGGGCGCGCGCGCGGGAGCTGCACCCAGAAGCGGCCCCCATGCGGGGTACCCTCTGCGGCGGTCGCGGGCCTCGCCCTCCCAACCACCCTTCGGCAACAATTCGTGGGAACCTCCCATACCATCCATCTGGCTGGCCCGTGCGAATCGACGCTTATCGACACTGGTCGACGCTGAGTCGACGCTAGATCAACGCTGATCGACGCTCACCAACACTAAATCGGTGCAACCTCACCTACTACCACACGCTTACCGACGCTGATACACTCTAGATACGGCGTTCAGAAGGTATGCCGAGCTCCAATGCATTGCTCTGAACTGCCCCGCTCAGGCGTTGCATCACATCTCCATTAGGTTGCGCTTGATGGCCGCGTAGTCGATCTTGCCGATCCCCTCCTGGGGCATCGGTTCTTCGTTGGAGGCGGCGATTCAGGGCGATCGGGCCCGACGAAGGTGCCACCAAGCTGGAATGAGCCAGATTGCGCCCAGGAGTTCACTGGAGTTAAGTGGGCAAGATTAGGCTGAAGCAGGAGGGGTTTCGACAACAGATGCACCAACCCCGAGGCTGACTTTCACCTCCCAAGGCTCGCCATCGCTCTCCCCGTCGTTCGGACGTCCATTCCCTGTGTGTTTGTTCGGTTTCGTGCGTAGTCTTTTCGCAGGATGATCCAGGATGCTCCTTAATAATCCCCGCCGAGGAACAAAAACACACACACACACACGTCCGAGAGATACCAAGCGCTCGGACGTCCATTCCCAGTGCATGTCTGGTTTCGCGCGTGATGCCAACAAAGAGGTGCAGCCGAGCGTGAACGGGTGCTCGGCGAATGCGAGCCGAGCACTCACCAACCCGTCGGCGAAGTGTTTCTGCCCACAAGCCTTCGGTCGGGCCTGTCCCCCTACAGGGGGATGTTGGACGGAAAATAAAAAGTACCCCACACATGCCCAACAGATGCCCAAAAATGCTTCAAAAATAGTCCCCAGACTATCTTTGGACTATTTTCGAATATTCCCCCTGTAGAGGGGCAGGCCCGACTTAACACAAGCCCCGCATAATCAGGCCCAGGGCACCGACTATCTTAGGGATATGTGCGCTGAGTAACTGAAGGAGTCTGGAGATCGGCACCAAGATGAGCTGATGCAACTCATGGGCTGCCTGCCAGACCCGAATTTCGGGTTGGGGCGCTACAGGCTTCGTAGCGTGTGTTCAATGTTTCCCGACCCCCTCACTGAAAATGGAGGGCAAATCGGGGCCTTCGGGTTGGGTTGGGGTGGGTTGGTGGGCGGTGAATCGTTGAGACAGAGATGTGCTTCAGGCTGGTAACGCCATCCTCGGTATGGACGGTCAGGGTTCACGCACGTGTTGGGCCCGTTTGGGAACCTCTAGGTGCCTCCGCGGACCTCTGGAGACCTGGGAATCTCTGGAGACCTCCAAGGTTCAAGGGCCTCCGGGGTCCTGTGGAGGCCTCGCCAAATCAGGGAACCTGGTACGCCGTTATCACATTCGTAACGCATCTCGTGAATCGATCGCAAATTCGACCCGCGAGCCGGGTGAGAAACATCCCCAAGGGAGTGCGTCTCGCCCGTGCGAAGCGCAAGGGAAGACGCCACGCGATGTGTTGACAGCTGCAACCCCACAAAGGCCCGGAGACACATCAGTGTGCCCTGCAGGGATGGCGCCGATGGTGAGCTGCCGAGCACACCTTGGATTCAGACATGAGACGACAAATTACCCGTCGGTCGGAAGAAGTAGGTAGAAACATAGAATAGGAATGCGTTGAAAAGAGATTGGGCCCCGCCCGCCCCCTCAGGAGGACGGGAAAGGTGATGCCACTCGGTCCTTGAAGTAGGAAGGCGCCTAAAGTAGATTGGAACCTGGGAATCCCAGAGAACCTACTTTCAACGACCGATGGGTACGCGGTACGGAGCATCGCGGAAGCGTCACCTCACCAACAAAACACAAGCGCCGCTCACAAGCAGAACTCGCACCCACCCGTGCCCCGCTGCAGTCCTGATGGGAGTATCGCAACTTCCCCGAGCTGTCCATCAACATCACGCCGCCGAACTTCAGCGCCGTGTCCGGTCCGCCGACGAAGTTGCCTCCCCCCTCTCCAGCCCGGGAAGCTTCTCTCCAGTCCTGGGACGTGCGGTCCGCCCGCACTCGACGTGCCTCGCGCCTCGCCTTCGGGCCTGGGCCCGGCGCACCGCATGCCCTCCCATGACCTGCACAGGCCGCAGGGGGGTGGCAGGCTGCCTCTTGCCCGCGTTCGCCCCAGGGGTGGAGAAGAGCGTCGAGAGAGGGAGAAAGAGCGAACGAGAGAGGGAGAGAGAGAGAGAGCGAGAGAGCGCACACAGCGGAGGCCCGACCACGAGAAACCTTCCGCACGAAACCCGACCCCGAGACCCCAGGACGTCCACCGATCTCTGGTGCGGGAACGCCACGCCTTTTCCATGGCAAAGCCCTGGAGACCCAGAGAAAATCGGGGGCGCCCTGGAGGCAGGCAGGGTGCTTCCTTGACATGGGCCCCCACTGCACAGCCATCGTGCGGGCCATGACGAACTCACGGAGCGAGGAACGGGAGGGCTTTCTTGAGCAGGGACCGACCGTCCCGGCATTCCTATAGTCCTACCACGAAATGTTCTAAGAACCCCAAACTGTTCTAAGAACATAAACAATGTTCTTAGAACATAAGCCCGATGTGTTAAAACAAGACAGTCCCAGCCAGAAATGTTCTAACAACATTTCGTGGAAACCCCAAAAAGGTTCTTGGAACATTGTTTGGTGGGGCTACAGGCGAGCCAGGACGCTTCGCCACTGCTTGAGGCATAGGCCCCCACTGCACCACCATCGTGCGAGCCACGACGAACCCACGGAGTGAGGCACGAGTCTCGTGCCTCACTCCGTGGGGTCGCCGTGGCCAAGCAAGCACTCTCGGAGAGGGCCTGCCTGGCCCCGGCGAGCCCCGGCAGCAGAGGTGTGGGCCCTGGCCTATAGATCCGAGGAGAGGCCCGCAGGCCGGAGCCCCTCCGGAGCCACCTGAGAATGCCCTTTGCGTGGATGGGCCCATCTCCCGCCACCGCCACCATGGGCAGGACGGGGGAGAAGGGAGGATGGGGAGCTCCTCCTCCTCCTCCTCCTCCTCCTCCTCCTCCTCCTCCTCCTCCTCCTCCCTCTCCTTTCCCCTTCCTCCTCCTCCTCCTCCTCCTCCTCCTTTCCCCTTCGTCCTCCTCCTCCTCCTCCTCCTCCTCCTCCTCCTTCTTTTCCTCCTCCTACTCCTCCTCCTCATCTCGCTCCTCCTCCCCCTCCTCCTCCTCCTCCTCCTCCTCCTCCTCCTCCTCCTCCTCCTCCTCCTCCTCATCATCCCCCTCCTCCTCCTCCTCCTCCTCCTCATCC